CACAATGACCTCAGCTAATTCCCTCAGCACTCTGGGGTGGAGATCGCCCAGACCAGCTGATGTAAATACATCCAGTCCGTCCAGAAGTTCCCTGACTAGATCCTCACCGACCCTTGGCTTAGGTGTGCCTCCCCTGGGGCCTGAGGGGGGGCTCACTGGGGGGGCTGATCCGGTCCCTGCTCAGGAAAATGGAGGCAAATAAGTTGTTAAATAGGTTAGCTTTGTCATCTGGTGTGATGACCAGGTTTCCCAGCATTTCTTGCAAGCTGATGATTCAAGCAAGGGGAGTCTCGAGTCCTGTGAGAAGTGCTTTGAGACTAGAAATGTTGAGAACCACTGATCTTCAGTCCCTAAGTCCGTACGCCTCTTCTCAGTCCCTTTGCCTTCTTGCTGTTCCCAGGCATCCCATGGCTGCGTTCGAGGGTCTTTTGCAGCATTGCAACCAAATTTCGGGCGTAGCCCTAGCGGTGCATTCGGAAGCAATAGCAAACCCTTGGATGGAGTCTCACATCTCTCCTTGCAACGTTAGAGTTAAAGGGTCTCTCTCGCATCTTTTGATCCAGGCTTGTGCTCTGTTCTCCTTCCCTTTCTCTCCATCCCCAGTGGGGGTTTGCTCCAGAGCTGCTGCCACCACTGTGAAGTGTGAAAATGCCGTAGCACAGCTTAGGAATTCCCTCACGTGAGTGCCCGCACTAGTTAATATTCATTATTTCTCTGCTTGGCGAGGATTAAATTTGAAATTTAATTATTCCTTTCTGATTGACTTTTATTGGTGGGTTGCAGATGCAAGGTTGAGCAGCTGAATCAGTAGACGTCTATGAGCGGTGCAATCTCTCTCTACTGCTTTCCTGGTTCTAGCACTAACCCCTGCAAGATTAGTAATGTCTAGAAACAAGCCTATGATTGGGGGTTGAGAGAGCTCAGTTTGGTATCCTGTATCTTGAGTGAGAGCTGCACGTGTCTACGCCAAAGGCAGAAATTAACTCTTCGATTATAGAGCTGTTTAGATGGGGTAGTTAGAGAAGGATAGAGACTCTTAGGTTGAGATTATAGTACTGAACACAGGGTAGATTTGCAGCTTATGGGCTATGTCAGAGATGCATTAGCTTTCATAAGCAGCAGCTTACTTCATCAGATGTTAAGAAGGGGTCTTGGCAATACTCAGTCCAGTATGAGGGCTTTAAAGAAAAGATGTGTACATCCTTTAACTCTAACTTAAAGGGGGGCAGCAAGAACAATGTTTTAAAAGCTGCTTTTTTGCATTTGGATGGATGGATGCATGCATGCATGCATGTATGTATGTGTAGGAAGGTAGGCAGGTGGATGGATGGAAAGATGGATGGGTGGGTAGGTGGATGGATGCATGCATGTATGTATGTGTAGGTAGGTAGATAGGCAGGTGGGTAGGTGGGGGGGTAGGTAGTTGTATGCATGCATGCATGCATGTATGTAGGTAGGCGGGTGGGTGGATGCATGTATGTATGTGTGGGTGGGTCGATGGTTCTTCTTTAGAGGGAAAAAAAATGAAAGGGGAAGAGGATCCTGCTGGTTTTTAAACCCTAGACATTGCAACATGTCCTCCTCTGGTTTGGTGGGAAGACCCACAGATGATCTTTGATGTATGTTTAAAAACTTTGTCATGCTTTTGGGTTGGATGATTGGCCAAGAGGTCCTTCCTACCCAGTGTTCATTAGGCACTGGAAGTAAATAGGTCCTAACAAAAGCAGCATGTGAGCCTGTTAAGACCTAAAATCCTTCCTGTCCATTGCTCAGCTCGGGCTTAGTCATCATTTTACTAATTCTCCATTTGTCTGCTGAGGCCCAGGGCCACGGCAGAGGCTGGGATTTGAGTCTGTGCTTCCTGTTCCCTCTGTGTTGGATCACAGTAGGTTTCGGGGAGCGGATATTTTAAGCTTTCAGGTCCGTTGGCTGGGTTTGTGCTCTTGCGCTCCAGCGTCACGCATTTTAACCTCACCAGGATCCCCCCCGGCTTTGCAGCAGCCGAGTTGAGAGCAGGCTCTATATTTGTATATTGGCATCACTTTATGTTTTGCTTTGGCACCTGAACTCGGGTAACATTATATTGCCTTGGGAGCCCTTCCATGGGAACCGCTTTCAAACCATCTCTCCATATGGCCTTCTGTGTGTTGAAACGCGAGTCCTTCTCGGTGGGCAGTAACATGTGGACACGTTCAGGGATCTGCATGCCACAACTGACTCTCATCCTGCTTTCTCCCTCTTATTTTAGGGGGATCATTTACGTTTAGTGCTCATCGGCTCCCCCCTCATTACTGTCCAAAAATGCCTTCTTTTTTTGTTCCCTTTCAGGCAGCTTTTTATAGTGGAAAAATTGCAGAGAAAAGGTGAAATATCCTGCGTGGCAGTTCTGTTGCATTGCACCGGCTTTGTCCCTGTTCTGTCAGAGCCGGGCAGGTTGCTGTTACCGCTTTCTAATGTGGTCTCAGGTACATTCCTGCCTCACTAAGCAGTTTCAGGCGCTGTGCAGATGCTGCTGTAAAATCCCGTTTCCAGTTAACCCTCGTGTTCGCGTCGCGACGATGCCTCCCTGCCGGCACTGAGGTCTCTCCCTTTGGTTGCTCCACAGGGCTCTGGGATGCCCCCCGGTTCCTCCGTGGCCGCCGGCCCAGGCTCCACTCCTGTCACCGGGCACAAGCGGATGATTATTCCAAACCAACCTCCTCTCACCGCCACCAAGAAGTCCACCAGCAAGGCCCCAGCTCAGCCGTCCCCCATCCCAGTCACTCCAGTGGGCACGCTGAAGCCTCAACCGGTCCCAGCTTCTTATACCACCGCGTCCACTCCCAGCCGGCCGGCATTCAACGTGCAGGTGAAAATGGCCCAGCCCAGCCCTCACTTCCAGCCCTCCGGCCCTCAGCCCGGTCCGTACACCAGCCTCGGTCCAAACCAGCCCTATGGACCGCAGCTGACTCGCCCCCCCGGGCCAGCCCAGTACGCTCCATCCCAGCCCCGGGCCCCGGAGTATGGATACGGTCCCCAGCTCGCGCGCCTGTCAGAGCTTGGCTACGGCTACGCGGCACCCCAGGGGCGTTACCAAGACCCTTACTACACCGCGGGCCCTGCCTACGGGGGAAGAAACAGCTCCGAGCCGCCCTATGCTCCGCAAAACACCTGGAAGCCCGAGCCGGCATATCCCGCAGCCAACACCATGGCCCAGACCCCCGCGGGGATGTACCAGCCACCCGGCACAAAGAAGACCTACATCACCGATCCAGTCCTGGCACCGCAGCCGCCACCCTTGCAAGCAAAGGTAAGAGACGCATCAAGACAGCCACTCCACAGCCCAGGGCCCAAACAGAGTGGCTGTCTCTCTGTCATTAGCTTAATGGCACTAACGAGCCCGTACGGTGCAGGCGAACATGTCTGAAGCCATATTGCCTGGCTCATCCGCGGTGTTATTTGAACTTAGGTGATTGCAACCCATTTCTTTGCTTCCCATCAAGGCTGGGCTGTAACAGGCACAGAAACAGCTGAGCCTGGGGTCCCTAAGGGTGTTTGAAAACCGAGGAGAGGAGAATTTGCCATCTTAATTTACAGGTGCTCTTAGAAACCTCACCTTTGCTAGGGGGGAAAGGGTCTGGTTTATAGGAAAGCACTGCTGTTTGGTGGAGTTCACCCTGCAGGTGACAGTGGACAGGTGTAACTTTAAACTGTTTCGGGAGTGGCGGTGGTGGGCAGGATTTCTGCTTTTCCCATCCACTCCCATACTGGCAGAGTGAAGCTAAACCTCTGTCAACTTTAAACTGAATGACAGAGCTTTAAAGATAACACCAGTCCAGCGGTTGCCTCAAATGGGACAGGGCAGACGGATAGGACAGTTACAGCAGGTCACCTGTAAAATGTAAGGCACTTGAACTAGCTGCCTCTCCGCACCCTGGGACTAGACAACTCACTGTTGGAGTTAATCCGCTCTGCGGCATCACAGGTCCCTCGTCATCCAGGTCTGAGGTTGTCTGGCCTTTTATTCTGTACACCGGTTGGTCTCCTTGGCTGACTGCTTGCCACTGGATAGATTGCTTCTCTCCAGATGCAAGAAGCAGGGACAAAGCCACGTTGCTTGTTGCATGGGTTTCAAGGGACTCTGGAGGCCGACATCCTGCCTCACAGTGCTGAGAAATCCTTATTGCCGAGACCGCAGGAATAAAGTCCCCTGTGCCAACCCACAGGAGGGATGATATCCCTCGCTGGGGACTCTAAGATGGCTGGGCGGTTGCTGTCCATCTTCTCCAACAACAATTTGATGGTGATCCTTGGTAGGTGGGTGGCTAGGTGTCAAAGCATTGGGGCACGGCAGAGAGCAGCTCTTGCCTTCAAACACAGCAGGGCTTACAAGCTTTGGCCGGCAGGAATTTAAATTTTTGCATGGCTTCTTGTGGGCACAGGGCTCTGCTGAGGCAGATCTCAGCATAGGCAAGACAGGGAAAAACCATTAAAAAAACAGCTAACCACCACAACCACCTACACGGCCATAGCCAAGGTAAGGAATCATTTTCCATATCCATGAAGCCAAATTTCAGCTTTAGCCCTAACGGTGTATTTGGAAGGAGTAGCAAACCCTTGGATTGAGTCTTGCCTCTCCTTTGCAACATAAGAGTGTTCAAACCACCCTGAACCGTGAACCCAGCTTGCACACGTCGGCCCCCTTGTCCCCACTTAGGCCTGGGGGCACCTGGGTTTCAAGTCCCCATAGCCCAAGCCCATCTTGCTGCATCTCAGTGCAGCATGTCTCAGGCCTTTTCATGCTGTCAGTAAGGGTGAAAGAGTCAGAGAGCAAAAAAAACCCCCCAAATTTCTCCTCCCTCTGCCATGGTCTTTGCATCTAATAAAAAGCCTTTTCCATTGGCCATTGGTCCTGTGTGTGTGCACGTATATCCATTTTAACGAACTCTGGTGCAGCATCTCTATGGAAACGCAAATCATTTCTAATCACAAACAGTACCAGGCTGTCAGCCTTATTTGCATTGAAAGACTGGAGGGGACAAAATATTTTAACATAAGGGTTTATGTATGTTATATATATATATTTTGGGTTCTCCTGGAAAATAGCCATTTTGCTTATCGACAAATCCCTCTGGACCTTGCATTTCCTCCTCAGCTTGCTGAAAGGCTCACTTTGCCATCCTATTTCAGGCCAGAGGTGTCATTGCCCTGCCAAGGAGAGGCTGCAGAAGGGCAGCCCGTTCCCACCTGGTAATCAGGAGAGGGGTAGAGCTCGCAGAGTATCAGGAATCATGCAGTCCACGTGCCTGAACGTTGTGTCATGGGTCATAAAAGTAGCATCTTCTTAACAGACTGAATCTTATTTCTTTCCCTTTGCAAGCTGGCTTCTTTTGGAAGAATTGACTTTTGAAAGGGATTTTATATCAGGGGAAAATCAGATGAAAATGTTACAACCCTGCCTTCTATCAGAGGGGCCATTCATGCTGTTTTCCTTGGGGCACGGTGGGTTTGGGCTTGTTCACACTCTTGCCACCTGCGTGCTCTATTTTGATGTGTTTTGCATGGTCAAGGTCTGTTTATAGAAAGTTTTTATTTAGTTAAATGAGCGTGGCCCTGGGTGAAGAACGAGACACCAGTTTGCATCTCATCAAATGCAAGAACGTGAGAGCTGCCATGGACTGGGGCAGACCCTAGGTCCATCTTGGCCAGTCTCACGCATCACATAGCAGAAGAAAGTGCATGCTGAACTCGTCCTGGCCAGGGGTTTTTTCCCCCTGTTCCTGTCCCACATGCAGCCTCCAGCATTTGAGGTCCAGGAAGTTGTGATTCAGAGGCCAATCCCTCAATCCCATGCTCAATAGGGACTGATGCCCCTTTCCTCCCTAGAATTTGCCCAGTGTCTTTGTGAATCTGGTTAAACAATCAACTATCTTGTGGCAATGAGCCCCGCATTTTAATTATGTGCAATGCAAAGTAAGAACGTCCTTTGGTTGGTTTTAAATTGCTGCCTTCTTGTTCTGCTTTATAACCCCTAGTTTTTATATTGCGAGGGATGGCAAACAATAAATACCTATCGACTTTCTCTTCACCCTTTGGTATTTTGTAAACCCGTATCATGTCCCCCATCGAGTATTCTTCTAAACCAAATGGGTCTGGCCAGCAGGAATTTAAATCTTTGCAAAATTTAACCTGGAGGACCTGGAGGCATCAAATAATTTCCAAGTGTTTATGCAAATGAGCACGTTCTTGAACGTGACATGCACAAAACTAAGGAATGCGGTCCCGAATCTGTCCTCACCGAGGAGTTTGTGCTAGGGCTGCTTGGAGAGAAACCTGAATTTCTTTCATTCACGTAAGAGGCCAGGGGAATTGGGCTGCAATTGGCTTTTTGCTTGCTGCATGTCTCGGAAGAGGTGCAGAGAGCCACGGCCCGTCTCTGACCGGAGCGGGCAGCGCGCCGCGCACTAATCGTGATGCAGTTGCCATTGATCCAAAGCAAATCTGGACTGGTATGGGAACAGAAAATAATCTGCACTGGCCCCGAAAGCCCGCGTAGGACAAAGCGTTGTGTTTAGGAAGTGGAAGTGCCAAGCGAGTCAGATCAGGCCAGGCTGGTGTTGAATTCCCTCTTTGGGCCAATTGTGGAAGTGAGAAGGAGGCATGTGAAACCGCTGGGAATGTTTAGCCTTTTGTAGTGATTCTGCGAGTCTTAATGCCCGAGTCATAATGAGGAAATGAACTAATGAAGCATATGTCCTCATTTAAACCTTAGCATTCCACCAGGGCATTCCTGCCCAAATAGCTCCGCGTCTCTAATCTGCCACATATGTCGAGGGCATATCCAGGCAGAGCCATGTGATTAAACTGGGGAACCATGTGAGACGTCCTGCTCGTCGCGCTTTTTGCCCACACGCGCATAGTCCAATTCTCCAACGTCCCCCAAGGTAATGCCATCCCACCCACAGGCCGTGGAGCACCAGACCGTAATGAGTCATTTTTGTAGCTCTCTGCAGTAGGGAATACATGCTGCAGCAGGCAGGCTTCAGTGCAAAGGATTTTTAGTTGCAAGCTTTCGTCCTGGCTGTAGCAGAAACCAAGACACGCTGTCCCTTGTCCACTGTGAAAGGTAAAGGTGTCCCATTTATCGGCCTTTGAGGTCTTGGCTACTTCTTCCATCTCAGCGCCGGGAGGACGTGATGTGCTCAGCACCATGTTCCCCCCCGGCCCCGCTAGTCACTGGGCCTATATCAGATCATGAAACTCGTGCTGAACCCATCAGCTCCGTGCTCTTCCAGAGCTCAGTCTTCATGCTGTTGAGAAACCATTTAAACTATTTCCCAGAGCGCACTGGCTCCTGATGGGGACACCAGGAATCACAAAGCAGATGTAGGGATGGAAATGCTACACCTTCCCTCTTTCAATGTGGCTCATTCACACAACAGTATGGTGTTCCTGCCCCTTCACCTAGAAGACCCCGTGTCTCTTTGTCACTAGGAATCCAGCGGTACAGATCTTCATGCAAGAAAAATTGGGATGAACTTTCAGCAGCATCAAACCCAAGCTCCTTGGGTGCCTGGGACTGCAGTCTCAGTATCTGGGCTCGGACCCTGGGGTTGTTACCGGATTAGTTCACCAGCAAGGTCACGGCATGATTTCTGGGTCCAGTCTGGATGCAGATACAGTCCTAAAAAGTAGTGCATTTCTTGTGTTTTTTCAGTCCGAGAGTTTGGAAGCCTTTTGACAGAGCAGCAGATCTCAGATCACTGCCCTTTCAAAGGGGCATCTTGAAAGAACAAAGTTAAATCTGAGCTCTGATTTAGTATCACAGGAGAATCATAGAGTCATAGAAAATGAGGGTGTGGAGGGACCTCAGGAGTCATGTGGTCCAACCCCCTGCTCCAAGCAGGAGCAGCCCCAGCTGCGTCATCCCAGCCAGGGTTTTGTCAAGCCGGGTCTTCAAAGCCTCCAAGGATGAAGACTGCACCGCCTCTCTTGGGAGCCTGTTCCAGTGCTTCACCACCCTCCTAGTAAGAAAGTTTTACCTCATTTCTAACCTCAGCTTCCCTTGCTGCAACTTGAGCCCATTGCTCCTTGCCCTGAGACCAGCCCAGCTCCATCCTCTTTGCAGCCCCCCTGCAGGGAGGTGAAGGCTGCTATTCAATCCCCTCAGTCTTCTCTTCTGCAGACTCAATCAGCCCATTTCCCTCAGCCTCGCCTCACCAGTCCTGTCCCCCAGCCCCACAACCATTTTCAGTGCTATGCAGGGTGTCCACATCCTTTCTGTACTGGGGGGCCAAAACTGGACACAGG